ATAGACAAGAATCTTTTCTTCTCCCTCCAAGCAAAATCCCCGTAGTCTAGCCAAATTTCTGTGTTCAAGCTTGGCTACCAATACAACTTCATTCTTAAATTCTTCTGCATCTTGCCCAGAGCTGCTTGATAGCCTTTTTACTGCTATTGCTTCTCCATTAGGAAGTATGCCCTGAAAATATTCATTAACAAAACGTTAGATCATCTGTTGAACCGACTATGTCTAAATAAATACAATAGGAATCAATGCTATACGTACTTTGTAAACTTCACCAAATCCACCTCCGCCCAACTTGTTATCAGTTGAGAAATTTTTTGTGGCTGCTTCAATTGTCCCCAAATCAAATTGCAAGGACTCTGCAGCTGAAATGTCATCATTTTCAGCTACAAAGGCACAGCCAGACATTAAATAATTTAATCATCCGAAAGATTGCAACAATAACATTTCTAGAGCACAGACAAATGGCAAAGTAAAACATTGTTTGGATTGTTGATAGAATAACTTCTTAAAGATTTACCATTATCTTCTTTCTTGCTCTCCTAATTAGGAAGCAATAGCCGGCTATGAAAAGTACTACAGCTACAACAATTGGAGCAATGATGGCGATGATTATTGAAGATGAAATTCTGCTTTTTCCTGCAAGAACGGTAACATTTTTATTTTGTACACCAGTGTTCAGATTTACTCGGTTCTTCTAAAGAGCTCCAATTTTTATTGTAAACTCAAAAATAGATATGAAAAGAATTCAAAGTGGGTTAGTTCAACTTTACCTTTAGGCCTTGTTACAGAAACAGGAGGTGGAGAAGAGAGCACAGGCGTCGGCGGCGGTGCGGCAGTAACGTTTTCATTATAAAACGGGTACAATTCATACTGGCTATAACAACTTGCAACCATAACTCTTCCTCCTGCTTTGGTTGTCGGCAAACTAACAAAAGATTGTTCAAGACAACTGTTACAGTCAAAACTTGACAGGTCCGGTGTGCACTATACAAGACAGTACAGTGGTTGACTGGTCGTAAAGTTTGCCTTTTTTGTCAAATATTTTTTAGGGGAATCAGTGGCCTCATTTGCTGCTTCCTTCATTGTAGTCCTTACTAGCTGATCAAACCGTTCTTTTTCTATAACATTATTAGGGTTGGACATAATAACACTGGGGTCACCGTCCACGGCAGAAAATATAGACGCGTTTGAGTAGCGTAGAAAGCACTGGTCGTACCATATTATACTTTCTTTTTCAACAGGACAACGTTTAAGAATGTCTGAGGTAGCAAAATTAACACAGTCTTTACAGGTGGTGGGAGTGACATCACCTCGGCAAAGAAAGAGAGCGTAGACCTTGTCAGGGTCTTGGCCTGCCGTGGTGTTGTAGAAGCCAGTGGAGAAACCATTGCTGCGGGTGGCGTTAGAGACAAGTGAAGAGAGGAGAAAATTGAGGTTAGATTGGTAGGTGCTATTTCTGTTAAATGTCGTTGTGTTTGGGCACATATGGTAAAGATATGTTGGATCAGCTGCACTTGTTAAACCGATAACAAAACTTACCAGATAGAGAACAAGAAAGAACATGAAGAATTTCCAGGAGGGCATTTTGATTCTTAGGTCTTAGGCTCTTCCTCTTAGGTTCCGTTTGAGGACAACGTACTGACAGGGGGTTTAGATTAATGCTAGCTTCTTCAGGAAGCACTAAAATGTGAGTCAAGTCAAATCAGCGGAAAGTTAAACCTCCCAAGTCATAATTGATGGTGACTTGAGTAGATATAAATAGTGGTGGAAGAAATGGGTCGGGTTAGACGGGTCAATCCTAACTCAGTCCGCATTAAAGGGAGTTTAACCCGGACCGCTTATAAGGTGGGTGGGCTTGAGCCCAACCCGCATGTAACCCCTGGGCGGGTCGGGTTGATATATGACAACCCGACGGGTTGCTGTTTTGTTTTTTCTGAAAGGACCCGCCAACCCGCTGGGTTGGCCAAAAAAAATAACAATTTTTTTTTTCAAATACCCCCTTTACCCTTGACATATAGCCGTTTTATAGCAGTTTGAGGGGGTTTTTTCGTCATTTTCTTTTCCCCCCTTTTTTTTCTATAAAGTGGCCCTAAACTCTCATATTTTTTTACATCCCAAATTCTCTCATTCTCTCATTTTCTTCGATCTCTAATCTCTATTGAAATCTCTCAATTATTCTCTTTGTTGTCAATTTACTCTCATTTTAATTTTTATTAGTTTTTGCAATTTTCAATTCATATTTCCATATTCCAATTCTCCTTCTTTAATTTTTTATTTCTTCTATATCAAATTTTTTTGTTTTTAACTACAATGGATAGATATTTCCATCCCGTCAATTCTGATGATGAAGGAAACTACTATCCCAATCCCCCTTAATTTGCTAACATAAATGTAGTAGATTCAAATAGTCCGGCTTTTCTAGTCTCAGAATCAGATACACCTCATAATATTCCCCCGATTCCTCCCCATGCTGCTACAGCTCCTGGTGGTTCTACAAGTGGTCCTCGTCCAACTTCATCTCAGGCTAAAGTGGGTTCATCAATTGCTATCGAAACCGACGATAGACACACATCAAACATTTGGGTGCATTTTGATAAGTTTTTCGAGACAGAAAATAGAGTTCAAGTGAAGAAAGCAAGATGCAAGTATTACGGAAATATTTATAAAGTTGATTCAGGTAATGGTATTAGTACTTTAAAAAGGCATGCTAATAAACATATTGCTCAACATGGAAATAAAGAAACCAATCAAAATGAAATAACTAATATGAGTACTTCTTGGCGTTATAATTCTGATGTATATAGGGAACAATTAGTTTTATATATTACTACAACTGATCAACCTATTAATATGGCTGAAGATAAATATTTTGAAAGATTTATTAAAAATTCATTTTTTCCAGAATTTAAAAGTTATTCTAAAACTGTAACTAGAAATGATTTAATAAAATTATTTGGGAAAATGAAATTAGAATTAAAAAATAAAATACATAGTTGTCATGCTAGTGTGGCTTTTAACTGTCAATATTTGGAGTGGTAGAGCTAAACAAGATTATATTTGTGTGACTAGTCATTATTTTGATAGCGAATGTAAATTAAATAAATCTTTATTAGGATTTAGATTAATGGATGTAGATCATAGTGGTGAACAAATTTATAATAAAATTGTTGAAGTTTTAGAAGATTATGATGTTATTAATAAAGTGATAAGTTTAACTTTAGATAATGTAAGTGCTAATAGTACATGTATAAATTTTTTTAAAAGCAATTATCCTTTTTATAACAATTTGAAGTTCTTTCACCGATGTTGTGCATGTCACATTATTAATTTAATTGTGAAAAGTAGTATAAAAACAATTAGAGATAATATTGATAGAATTAGGGATTCTTTAACTTGGATTACTAGTAGTAATAAAAGAAATGCTGAATTTCAAGATACTTGTATAAAATCAAATATGTCCCCTAGAACTTTTGCATTTGACATGCCTGTTAGATGGAATAGTACTTATTTAATGCTTGATTCATGTTTACCTTATGCAAATTTAATTAGTTATTTTGTAGCAAATAATAGAGGTCCTCATTATTTGGTAGAAAATAATTGGCATAAAGTTAAAATATTTCATTCTTTTCTTAAAATTTTTTACCAATCCACTTTACAACTTTCAGGTATGTATTATCCTATTAGTCTATTGGTAATACATACAATTATAAAAATTTCAGAGTTATTTACAAAAAACAAAAATAATGAAATTTTAAGGGAACCAATAAAGGCAATGAATTTTTTTTTTTTTTTTAAATATTGGAAACCTATTCCTTTTATTTATTGTTTAGGTGTTATATTTGATCCTAGAATTAAAATAGCAGGTTTATAAAATGGTTTAGACACATTAACTGAAAATTTACAAAACGAAGAATATGCCAATCAACTAGGAGAGGTAAGAGATTGTCTTACAGAGGTATATTTCCAATATGAAAACAGGTATGGGAACTCGCAAAGATGCGAAATACCTAGGGAAGTTGCATAAGAAGAAACAAATGAAGACTTCTACTTCTGGAGTGTATTTAATAGGCCAAAGAGAACCCAAACCCGAAGCACAACCTCATCTTCAGAAGCACCAATAACGAATATACTTTCCTCCATGCAGTCATAGAGTAATGGGCTTCAACAATATTTGGGAACCCTTGAAATATTACCAGCAGATCCATAACAAATAGCCAATTTTAATGTCTTAGAAAATTGGAAAACCAGAAAATGTATTTTTCCAGTATTATCAAGACTTGCCTTGGATGTTTTCGTTGTTCCTATCTCAACCGTCTCATCCAAACAAACATTTAGTGCAAGTTGAAGAATTTTAAATGAAAGGAGGACTAAACTTTCACAAAAAAATGATTGAAGTCCTCACATGTCTTCGAGATTGGGAACGATTGCGCCATCAAGAACAATACGAGGTTGTCGACGATACTTTAATTGAATTATTTCAATTTTGTAATATAGATGATATGGATGAGGGAGGTCCTAGTCAACCCCCAAATTAGTTGTTTTGTAAATTGTAACTTGTAAATTAATTGTCAATTATTGCTCTCTTTTTTCTTTACCAAGTTTTTGTCTCATTGGGTTTTTTTTTGTGAGGTTTTTGACGAGGCAATAATTGTTGTAATTTCTTATTTTATTTTTTGATAAATAAATAAATCTAATTTTTTTTTTATATTACAATTTTATTATATTAAAATTGAATTAATATTTGAAATGTTAACAAAAAAAAAATAATTGAATTGAATTGAATTATTGATATTTGAAAAGTTAACTAAAAACATAAACAAAACAAACAAAACAAAACAAAAGAAAAAAGTTATTAAGGGGGGGGGGGGGGGGGGGGGGGGGGGAGGCGGCTAACTTGGCCCGGCCCGCAGCATAACCTGCCGGGTTAGGGTTGGCGGGCCAAGCTAGGCTAGCCAATCCTAACAAGGCGGGTCGGGGTAGCAGGGTAGGCCCAAACTGCCAAAAACACTAACTCTTTGCGGGCCGAGCCGGGTTGGCCAGGCGGGTTATATTTCCAACATTAGATATAAAAATGCCTAAGTTTTATTGAAGGCAGGCGGCCCATCCCAATTATCACATTTAACAATGGCAAATCAATTGGTTTGACCAAATTATAAATTGTCTACATGACAAAAAATCATTTATCTCCCTTCGACTTTTCAAATTCGTTAGTATATCATCCAAAAATCTCCCCCAAACTTAGTTTTGGCCATTAAATGTAACTGAAGACCATAATTGACTATTAAAATGACAAAAGAACTGATAGATGGCCAATTTTCCCTGGAATCAAAACACTAAGCTGCAAAGTCCTAAATGATTTGACAATGAAATTATTAACCTGAAGTAAGGAAGGAATAATAATACTAGGACTGATTTGACAGTTGAAGCCGAGAGAAGGATTAAGCTTTTGCAGGTTCCGATGCAGTAGACATCCATCACTTAACCTGAGATGTACCAACAATAGATTTCTTTAAAACATGGAATTTTCTTATATGTTCTTTTCAATAGAATTAAAGAAGGCTAATGCTCAAAGGATTCCTTAGTGTTCTCCAGAACTAGAAGTAGATCAAATATCTAGTGTCAGTAAAATTGACATCCGAAATCGAAGTCCAGAGATATTTCCATATTGCCCGTGTTCACTATTTCTCTTCTTGAAAAGAAGAATTTGTCACTTTTGGTTGTACAAGTGAATTGAAGTCTAAAACAACCTATTATCGAGGATATACTTCAGTAATTGATGCATCACCAACAGACCATGGGATTGAGTTGCTTTTAGATTGATCAAAGTCAAACTCGTTTCTTGCCATGCTAGCCTCCCATCTAGTACCAAGGAAAAAGGCTGGCCGTCTAGGTGCTGGAAGAGTAACAGAGTAACTATTAAGCATGAGAACTATTGTTGCCATTGAGGGTCTGTCAGCTGAATATTCCTGGACACACAACAACCCCATATGTATGCATCTAATCACTTCATTCCTTGAGTAAGAATCTGTCAAGGTTGAATCCAACAATTGCAACGGTGTCCCATCCCTCCAATGTTTCCAAACCTAAAACAATAAATTATAACCATCAATTAGCTTCAGCTCTAACCTTTTTATTTCTCCACTCTCTAGTTGCATGTAAAGATGCTAACTCTAACAAAGGGGAATTACAATATACATTTTGCTTACATAGCTCACGAGATACTCAGCACCATCTGGTTGATAGAAATTGCTGTTCTTCTTGCCAGTAATGATCTCAAGTACTAGGACACCAAAACTATACACATCGGATTTCACTGAGAATTGCCCACGCATAGCATATTCTGGAGACATGTAACCACTATGCAACAGAGATTTTGTTAATATTAAAGAGAACCAGGAACCTTTGAAAATTAATTGAAACAATTTACACATCAATTTATTTAAGGCTAACCAACAAGTTCTCTAGATGTTATTCCTAGAGCTATTTGGTATACCAAATGAAGAATGCATTTGTTGATATAAGAAAGCTCAAAGAGGCATTGTAACTTTGTGTTGTGAATTACAAGTAGAAATTTGTAAACCATCATTAGACATTTTTTCTCTTTCGCAATGATTCAAGAGCTAGGATTATATAATTAATGAATGAATTCATTCTTCTACTTTCCTCAAAGCAAACAGTAGTCAAAACTTACTATGTCCCAACAATTCTATTTGTATTTGCTTGAGTTTGATCAACTCCAACAATCCTTGCCATGCCAAAATCAGAAATTTTTGGATTCATATCTCCATCTAATAATACATTGCTTGCTTTAAGATCACGATGTATAATTCTCAATCGAGAATCCTCATGAAGATAAAGCATTCCCCGAGCGATGCCTTTAATTATCTTGTAACGTCTTGACCAATCCAATTCAGCTCGCCTTTCAGGGTCTGCAAATGTCAAAATCAAAATCTTAAATTAAATTATTTAAGAATTGAGTTCAAATCCATAATGAATGAATGAAAGAATTCATTTGCTCTAATGCAAAACAAGGATATTGGACTCATGAATCCTTGAAATTCATGGAGACAGTTCATACCATATAGAAAGTAGTCGAGGCTTTTGTTCGTCACAAATTCATAGACAAGAATCTTTTCTTCCCTCTCCAAGCAAAACCCAAGTAGTCGAACCAAATTTCTGTGTTGAAGCTTGGCTACCAATACAACCTCATTCTTAAATTCTTCTGCACCTTGCCCAGATCTGCTTGATAGCCTTTTTACTGCTATAGCTTCTCCATTAGGAAGTATGCCCTGAGAATATTCATTAATAAAACTTCGGATCATCTGTTGAACCGACTGTGTCTAAATAAATACAACAGGAATGCTATACGTACTTTGTAAACTTCACCAAATCCACCTTCGCCCAACTTGTTATCAGTTGAGAAATTTTTTGTGGCTGCTTCAATTGTCCCAAAGTCAAATTGCAAGGACTCTACAGTTGTAATGTCATCATTCCCAGCTACACAGGCACACCCAGACACTAAATAATTTAATCATCCGAAAGATTGCAACAATAACAGTTAATAAAATAACTTTTTAAAGATTTACCATTATCTTCCAGTGGAGGGCTATTCTTCTTTCTTGCTCTCCTAATTAGGAGGCAGTAGCTGGCTATGAAAAGTACTACAGCTACAACAATTGGAGCAATGATCGCGATGATTATTGAAGATGAAATTCCGCTGTTTCCTGAAAGAAAAATAAACGAATATATAATAGTAATTTAAAATGATAAAGCTTAAATTTACTGAAAATAATACTGAAAAGTAATCAAATTGGTTTAGTTCAACTTTACCTTTAGGGGGTGAAGAAGAGAGCGCTGGCGTCGGCGGCGGTGCGGCAGAAACGTTTTCATTATAAAACGGGTACAATTCAAACCGGCTATTACAACTTGGAATCAAAACTCTTGCTCCTACCCGGGTAGTCGGCAAAGTAGCAAAAGATTGTTCAAGACAATTGTTACAGTCCAAATTTGACAGGTCTGGTGTGCACTGTACGAGACAGTACAGTGTTTGAATGGTTGTGAAGTTAGCCTTTCTTGTCGAAAATTTTTTAGGGGAAGCAACAGCCTCATTTGCTGCTTCCTTCATTGTAGTCCCTACTAGCTGGTTAAACCGGACTTGTTCTGTAACATTGTTAGAGTCGTAAAAAACCGCACCGGGGTTACCTTTCATCGTAGAAAAGATATACTCGCCTGAGTAGCGTAAAAGGCACGGATCGTACCATATTATACTTTCTTCTTCAACAGGACAACGTTGAAGAATGTCTGAGGTAGCAAAATTGACACACTCTTGACAGGTGGTGGGAGTGACATCACCTCGGCAAAGAAAGAGAGCGTAGACCTTGTCAGGGTCTTGGCCTGCTGTGGCGTTGTAGAAACCGGTGGAGAATCCATTGCTGCGGGTGGCGTTAGAGACAAGTGAAGAGAGGAGAAAATTGAGTTTAGATTGATAGGTGCTATTTCTGTTAAAAGTTGTTGTGTTTGTGCAATCATGGAAAAGATATTTTGGATCAGCAGCACTTGTTAAACCGATAGCAGAAGTTGCAAGATAGAGAACAAGAAAGAACATGAAGAATTTCAAGGAGGGCATTTTGATTCTCAGCTCTTAGGCTCTTCCTCTTAGCTTCTGTTTGAGGACAACCTCGTACAGTGTTAGTATCTCTACCTAATTAAAAGAACACAAGAGTCAAATCTGCGGAAAATTAAAGCTTGGGAACGATAAGTAGGGTAACTGATGTTGACTTGAGTGGATATAAAATGCCAGTTTTTTATTCACGGCGGCCCATCCCACTTATCACATTTAACAATAGAAAATTAATTGGTTTGACCATGTAAGAAAGCAAAGAAAAATGTAACAGAACAGAGTAGAGAATTTACTGGAGAAAGTTTTCTTCAATTCAAGCATCATTTTAGTCCCACTCTCATTTGCAATCGTTGACTCTTTTTCTATCTAAACTAAGCTTTAACTATACCATGGTATTACTTTAACTTTACCACAGTTAATCACAACTATCCTCTAACTACTAGACAACTCTGAGCTGTACTCCAATGGAATCCATTGCCGGAGTTGGCGTTGGAGAGAAGAGATAGAGAAGATTGAGGTTAGACTGGTAGGTGCTTTTTATGGAGAAAGTTGTGTTTTAGCAGATGTGAGAAACGTATGTTGCATCAGCTGCACTGCTGAATCTGAGAAAAAAGCTTAATAGGGAGAGGAACCCAAAGATCATGAAGCACAATAATTTAACTATTTGATACTCTTTCCTCAGAAAACTCTGTTTTATTCAGAGCATACCATCAAGGCTGGCGATACAACATAGTGAAAATTATATCATAAACCAGAAAATACTAAGCATACATCTTGTCCCTTTCAGGCTACATCTGCCTGAATAAAATTGGCCAATATAGGATCACTAAATGATGAAGGATCCTTCAGTTCACCAAACTACAATTCAGAAACAAGCATTTTTGTCACTTTTGGATGTACAAGTGAATTGAAGTCTAAAACACCCTATTATCGAGGATATACTTCAGTAATTGATGCACCATCAACAGACCATGGGATTGACTTGCTTTTAGATTGATCAAAGCCAAACTCCATTGTTGCCATGCTAGCCTCCATTCTACTACCAAGGAAAAAGGCTGGCTGTTGAGGTGCTGGAAGGGTAACAGAGTAACTATTAAGCATGAAAACTATTGTTGCCATTGTGGGTCTGTCAGCTGGATCTTCCTGGACACATAACAACCCCATATGTATGCATCTAATCACTTCATTTCTCGAGTAAGAATCTGTCAAGGTTGAATCCAACAATTGCAACGGTGTCCCATCCCTCCAATGTTTCCAAGCCTGAAACAATAAATTAGTCACAATCAATTAGCTTCACCTCTAACTCTTATATTTCTCCACTCTCCATTTGCATATAAAGATATTAACTCTAACAAAGGGGAAATACAATACACAATTTGCTTACATAGCTCACGAGATCCTTAGCTCCATCTGTTTGATAGAAATTGCTGTTCCTCTTGCCAGTAATGATCTCTAGTACTAGGACACCGAAACTATACATATCAGATTTCACTGAGAATTGCCCATGCATAGCATACTCTGGAGACATGTAACCACTGTGCAACGAATATTATGTTAATATTAAAGACAAGAAGGAACCTTTGAAGATTAATCGAAAAAATTTGCACATTAATCTGTTTAAGGCTAACCAACAGGTTATTCAGATGTTATGCCTAGAACCATTTGGTATACCAAATGAAGAATGCATTCGTGATATAAGAAAGCTCAAAGACGCATTGTAACTTTGTGTTGAGAATTTCAAGTAGAAATTTGTAAACTATCATTCGACATTTTTTCTCTTTCGCGATGATTCAAGAATTAAGATTATATAATTGAATTCATTTATCTGCTTTCCTCAAAGCAAGTAATAGTCAAAACTTACTATGTCCCAACAATTCTGTTTGTATTCGCTTGAGCTTTATCAACTCCAACTATCCTTGCCATGCCAAAATCAGAAACTTTTGGGTTCATATCTCCATCTAACAATATATTGCTAGCTTTAAGATCACGATGTATAATTCTCAATCGAGAATCCTCGTGAAGATAAAGCATTCCTCGAGCGATGCCTCCAATTATCTTGTAACGTCTTGACCAATCCAATTCTGCTCGTCTTTTAGGGTCTGCATATGTCAAAATTAAAATCTCAAATTAAACTATTTAGGAGTTGAGTTGAAATCCATAATGAATGAAAGAATCCATTTGGTCTAATGCAAAATAAGGCTATCGGACTCATGAATCGTTGAAATTCATGGAGACAGTTCAGACCATGTAGAAAGTAGTCAAGGCTTTTGTTCGTCACAAATTCATAGACAAGAATCTTTTCTTCTCCCTCCAAGCAAAATCCCAGTAGTCTAACCAAATTTCTGTGTTGAAGATTGGCTACCAATACAACCTCATTCTTAAATTCTTCTGCACCCTGCCCAGAGCTACTTGATAGCCTTTTTACTGCTATAGCTTTTTCATCAGGAAGTATGCCCTGAGAATATTCATTGATAAAACTTCAGATCGTCTGTTGAACCGACTGTGTCTAAATGAATACAACAGGAATGCTATACGTACTTTGTAAACTTCACCAAATCCACCTTCGCCCAACTTGTTATCTGTTGAGAAATTTTTGGTGGCTGCTTCAATTGTCCCCAAATCAAATCGCAAGGACTCTACATCTGTAATGTCATCATTTCCAGCTACACAGGCACAGCCAGACATAAAATAATTTAATCATCCGAAAGATTGCAACAATAACATTTCTAGAGCACAGACAAATGGGAAAGTAAAAGATTGTTTGGATTGTTAATAGAATAACTTTTTAGAGATTTACCATTATCTTGTAGTGGAGGACTATTCTTCTTTCTTGCCACCCTAGTTAGGAAGCAATAGCCGGCTATGAAAAGTACTACAGCTACAACAATTGAGCAATGATGGCGATGATTATTGAAGATGAAATTCCGCTTTTTCCTGCAAGAACGGTAACATTTTTATTTTGTACACCAGTGTTCAGATTTACTCCGTTCTTCTAAAGAGCTCCAACTTTTATTGTAAACTCAAAAATAGATATGAAAATAATTCAAAGTGGGTTAGCTCAACTTTACCTTTAGGCCTTGTTACAAAAACAGGAGGTGGAGAAGAGAGCACAGGCATCGGCGGCGGTGCGGCAGGAACATTTTCATTAAAAAACGGGTACAATTCAAAGTGGCTACAACAACTTGGAAGCAAAACTCTTGCTCCTGCGTGGGTAGTCGGCAAACTAGAAAAAGATTGTTCAAGACAACTGTTGCAGTCAAAATCTGACAGGTCTGGTGTGCACTGTACAAGACAGTACACTGTTTGAATGGTTGTAAATCTAACCTTTCTTGTTGAAAATTTTTTAGGGGAGCCAACAGCCGCATCTGCTAATTCCTTCATTGTAGTCCTTACTAGCTGGTTAAACCGGACTTGTTCCGTAATATTATTAATGTTGTACAAAATAAAAGCGGGCTTAGCGGCCATGGTAGAAAAGATATACTCGCCTGAGTAGCGTAAAACGCACGGGTCGTACATAATTATACTTTCTCTTTGAACAGGACAACGTTTAAGAATGTCTGAGGTAGCAAAACTAACACACTCTTGACAGGCGGTGGGAGTGAAAACAAGTCGGCAAAGAAAGAGAGCGTAGACCTTGTCAGGGTCTTGGCCCGCGGTGGCGTTGTAGAAACCGGTGGAGAATCCATTGCTGCGGGCGGCGTTAGAGACAAGTGAAGAGAGGAGAAATTTGAGGTTAGATTGATAGGTGCTATTTCTGTTAAAAGTTGTTGTGTTTGGGCAATCATGGAAAAGATAGTTCGGATCAGCTGCACTTGTTAAACCGATAACATGATATAGAACAAGAAAGAACATGAAGAATTTCCAGGAGGGCATTTTGATTCTCAGGTCTTAGGCTTTTAGCTTCTGTTTGAGGACATCTACCTAATTAAAAGAACACAGAGTCAAAATCTGCGGAAATTCAATTTTTGGGAATGGGAACACGCCAGTGATGGTGACTTGAGTGGATATAAAATGCCTTAGTTTTATTCAAGGCGGCCCACCCCACTTATCACAATTTAACAGTGGGAAATTTTTTCGTTCCACAAAATTAAATCAGGGGTTAGAATAAAATTTCATGCGCAAATTGGGATTGAAACTGACCAATAGAGTCATCAAGGATGCTGTCCATCGGAGACGCACCTAGTGAATAGTGCAAAAACGAAGACTTCATTATATAAACATAACAAAAACGAAGACTTCTGATTTAACAAAGAAGAATTAATTGTTTTAACACAGGAAAAGAGCTATAGCCTTCATGCATAAACATAACTGTAGAAGTATTATTGATTCTCAACCAAGCAATCCAAGTACCCCACCCAACAATGTGATGTCTAATGTTTCTGTTTCGACATTCAGAAGCCATTAGGAGTAACAGAACTTGCCGTGGGAGACTGTCAATAGGAAAAATTCACCAGTCCATGTCCACATGAGCTAGAGTTTGTGATGAATGAAAGAAACAAAACTTTTTTTTTTCTCTTTATGTGAATAACAACTGTAAAACCCCATTTCTAATTTAGTTATATCATGAATTTTATTTATTTATTTACTTTTCTTTCTATTTGATTTTACGGTATTGTTGTAAGAAAGGGTATTTCTGTCAGTTTTTAAAGTTTGCATTAAGGGGTGAAAACAAAAGAAATAAATTCTGATGGGTTTGCATGATTAAGAGGGAAAAATCTGGACACTTTTGTAAGGAGAAGTTATGTGGCGGGGTTAGAAGAATTAATAGAATTTGGGGGCAATTTTATAATTTCAGAAAATTGTTTTGTATGAAGAAAAAAACTGGGCTGTTAGCCCAAATGAAGAAGAAGGAAAGGGGGAAAAATAAAGGAGGAGAGAATTTGAAGCAGGTCACTCCAATTTTTGGGTTCGGGTAACGCATACACTGGGCTTAGGAAACAATTTCTTTAATCAATTCTCCTTTGCTTTACGAGTGAGTGTTTAATCTTGAGCTTTTGGGTGTAGGTACGGAAGAGAAGAGTGCTTGACACTTGATTTGATTTTCGGTTGAGCTAGAATTGTGAGTGGA